GTCCTACGTATAATATTCCTGAATATTAAGTTGGCCTAGTATCCACTGTTTCTGTGTGGTATCAATGTTTGGTCAAGTAGCGGCGTCCCTAACCGGATGTTATGGGTTGGGACTTCGCCTGGTTTGGTGTCCGTTTTTGTCATATTTGCAAAGCGTTTGCAATGGCGGACTACTGTTTGTTTACGAGGAGATTTTTGATAATTGGGGTGACTATGGAGTGCCCTGACAGACTTGTCTTGGTCCTACGAAGCGGATAACTATCCCAGCCTTTAATTGCCAGTGATGATGGACAGTGCCATTCCCGGTAAAGAGTGTTTATGTCGAGTTTCGTCAGTCAGCCGGGAGAAACAGTTTACCGAGGGTGCCAGACAGAATTGCCATGACGCTTTCACTTTTGCTGGGTTTACACGGTTCTTAGCTTACGGCCTCAGTTCAGAGGTCACTGTAGCTATGTCCGGACTGTTCGTAGGCATCGGTGTTACTACCTTCATCTCCTTTACGAACGTTCCTGGGGTCACTGGTCTTTTTTACCTCTGCCATTCCATCAACTTTATGAATGTTCTGGTAGACTGACGATCCCATGCATCGCATCTACTAACTTTTTTACTCCATCTGGCGGACCAAAACTTCATTTGGCGAACTATACGTTCCTACGATCACTGTTTATACGGCCTTCATCACTCTGTGTACAATGTGTACGTTCCTGTAGGTTGACTGACATCTCCATGCCACTAACCTCCTACATTCAGCACTTCTTCAGTGCTGTCATGGTAGCTTGGCTACTCGAACGTATCCTATCTCAGGAGAGATTTTTTCTTCTGTGGCAATAGTTGCTAGGCCTTCTGACGTCAGCTTAAGCCCCAACGTACAGAGGCCATCTCCAACTTCAACAGATACTGCGATTCTTCTACGCTCGTTTCTCGAGGTTGATAACTGAACCCAAAGGAATTGTTTTGCCTTCCTGAACCACTTCGTCCAGTCCTTCAGGGTGGCCCGCCGAACGGAAGGTCTGCGCTGGAGTTCTTCTTGGTACCTCTAGCACTCTCGCAACTCAGGATTTTTTGTCAGTGGCAAGAACTTCTGGGTCTGTTGACGTCAGCTCAAGCTTTGACTCTCAGGGGATAGCTTCAACTACGGCCTTTCCACTTTTTTCTGGGTCAGCACATCAGGATTGGCGTCCCTCACGCATTGATCTCTGTTCCTCCAGCGCTCCATCTCCATCTCCAGTGGTGGTTGGATGGGTTGAATATTTCCAGTGGAGTCTCTTTAAGGCCATTTGCTCCAGTACATCGCCTGTACATAATCACTTTTCTACACGGGTGAGGAGCTCACTTTCTCGATCAGCAAGTGTCAGGGTTGTGGTCTCCCGCAGACCGTGCATGTCACATCAACGTTTGCGATCACTCTTTGGCATCACCTGTTACAATCAACCAAGCTTTGTTTTGATCGGACTATGCTGCGATCGTGTGGCACATCAATCGAATGGGATCCAAGGAGTCTCCTCAGCTTCTTTAGTGGACACAACAGTTTTTTCCACTTAGTGGACTCTTTCAACATCACGGTCCAGGCCAATCACATCCCAGGGTTGAAGTACGTCATTGCAGACTCTTTGTCCCGTCCGGTTCGACCATACCAGATGGGGTGGAAACTGCATCCGCAGGTTTTCCAGACTTTGTGCCTTCCAATGTCTGACCCGACAGTGGATCTGTTTGCTACCCGCTTTCCATCACCTGCTTCCGATATTCGTGTCGCCGCCCCCGGATCCTGGATCCTTTGGCCTGGGAACACAACGTTCTAGCCATCCCCTGGGATGACTTCAATGCATATGCGTTTCCACCAGTGGCGCTACTTCCACGCATACTGCTCAAGTTATGCACGACACAGCGGTTGACACTGACTTTGGGTCGCACCGTTTTGGCTCGTTATTTTGTTCCTAACCTGCAAGACTTGGCCGACCCATTTCATTACCACTTCCCGTCACCCCGATATTATGGTTCATCTTCACTCCGATCAGCTGCATGGTCTCCGCTCACACTTAATTTTCAGGCCTGGTGCCTTTACTTGAATCGCTAACTGCAAAGGGATATTCCAAGCGAGTCTCAGCGCATTGACCTTCTACCAGGCCACTCTTTGATGACTATGGAAGTATTTTGAAGCGTACTTCTAGACGATGGGTATTATATCTCCCACTACAGCATCGCCACAGATGGTTGCGGAGTACCTCCAGCATTCTTGAACTTCCAAGGAATTGACGGGTTCCAGCTTGTCTACGTTCCTGGCCATGCGTAACACAGTTATAGCGCCGGCTACAGGGGTGTGAAGGTGTCAACTGTCCTTGAGCTCCAGTTTCTCCTTAGATCTTACAAGTTGCTGATCAATCCCGGAAGTTCTGGCTACCAGCCTGGTACCTTTCCATGGTTTTTAATCATCTCATGTCAGAGGAGTATGAACCTCTGTCAGAGAAGGCTTTCAAGCATGTCATGTTTAAATCTTTCTTTCTCCTGGCTCTTGCGACTGCTGCCTGCATCTCCGAACTTCACGCACTGGATGTCACCCGGTTGCGTTTCGAGAGGACCAGACATGTCAAAGCCCTCCCTGGTTGAAGTGGGATCTCTTTGCTGAAACCAGTTGCCTGGACAGCTGGACAGACTATTCGCCTTCCCACCGCTGTCTCCTATTTTGGGCCCTGACGACACCGAGAATCTCTTCCTGTGTCCTGTCCGGACTTCACGGGTCTTTAACTGCCTCCATGGACCGTCGTAGGTTACGCAAGAGACTGTTTATTTCTCTGTCATCTGCCTCATCTACAGAAGTCTCTTGTACCACACTGACCTTCGGGATGCGATCTACCATCCTTCATGCCTACGCCTGTGTTGACCTTCCTCTTCCTACTACGGCCAACCCTCATGAGACAAGAACCTTGACCTCTCGGATTACGATGGCTCGACATAGAACTGTTTTCTTCACGGCATCATGGAGGGTTGTTTTTGGAGTTGGACTCGGTCTTTGTCTCACCCTACCTCCGGGATCTGTCTATCACTGACGTGGAAGGTCTTCACCATCTGGGTCCATTGGTTCTGGCGTAGCAGTTGTCGTCAGCTCGCAAATGCAGATAAGATGCAGTTCCTACTTTCGTGTAGGTTTTGCATTCTCTATATCATGAAAGATCTCGGTCCTATCTTTCTTATTGGTATGGATTATATTGGGCATAGACCACCTCACCTGTCTGCACTGTCATAGTTATGACTCGATAGACTGAGAGGCCAGTCTTGTGCTACATGCAGAGGTGGCCGACACTCCGCTTACTGACCCCTACTCTCTGAGCAATTACGTCAGTGAAGTGTTGATTTTCGATTACCTGCATAGTTTTCGAAGCGTTCTGCTCCTAAGTCCTTTCTCACCTTTGGTAAGTTAGGGGGATTGGTACTGAACGTTAAACTAGTTGAGCAACCGGGCTATTCCCTTTTTCACCGCCTTCCAGCGTGTCTGTGGGGGTAGTTTCGAAGCAGGGACTGGCCAGATTTAAGTCCTCGACTTTAATTCACTGGGGTCACCTGATAAATCGCGGGGCAGCAGGGCCTATTTGCCAAACTGCGTCCTTTTGCTTGTCAAAAGTTACGGCTGAAAACCACATTAATTCGGGAACGCCCATTCCCTAGAGTTGTTGTGCTGTGTAAGCCAAGGGGTTACATGAAGAAACCCATCTCAAGTTTGTAGTTTGCATATCGGGAGTTGGTGCTTTCTCCTGGCCTCCTTGGGTTATGCGTCTTCACGGTTGTAAGTACTGACAGGGTAATCTGCGGCCCTCCTACCAACCCAGGGGTGGAAATAACCCATTGCCCAAGTCCAGCGTTTTTTTCTGTCGGGCAAGCAAATTTCTATATCCCACTGTACCGGTGTCCAGTTGACTTTCCAATATTAATTATGTTGTTTATTTAAAAAAATCAACAAGAAACGGCCGGCATAGTGGAAAAATTATCAGGGCAAGTGATTTACATGTGCCACTGTACCGGAGTACACTAGCAATTTTAAAGTTATTTCCACCCCTGCAACCGTGGGATTGTGCATAACGTGAGATAGGATAAGTATATAAATATACAATTTATATTAAAATTTTCAAATTTTAAACTTATCCCATCTCACGCGATGGATACCCACCTGACCTGCCCCACATCACAGATTACTGGAAGCTCCAAGACGAGAATGACAGGTACAGACCGTCACGTGATGATCTGAGCAATCTGCACGCTTATTGAGATGATTGACAGGGACTGCTATCGGAGTGGGGCAGAGGTCGGGGGGTCAGAGGCCAGATAACTTTTGATTCAATTTAGCCTACAGTACGTTTCTACACATGGTCGTAGAAGAAGAAGAGAGGTGCATACCGTGAGATAGGATAAGTATATAATTATACAATTTATATTAAAGTTTTCAATTTTGAACTAAACAATGACTCTTCCAAAGTTTGCTTGCCAAGAGCACTTGTTTGGGATCATAGATGAATCCCTACTTACAAAGAAACTTATACTGCTTCCAGTAGAACATGACATCACTGACTTCCGTTGATATCAATAAATCGATTGGCAATGATTGATGTGATGTAACAATTGCACATGCTTTCCGCCTTTGAGGCTGTTTCTGCAAGTGTTACTTTACCCTCTTAATCCTCACACGGAAAATCAAAGCAAAATGAAGATAGTTATTTAAGTAACTTTTTTCAATTTGGAAACAAAACGTTATGAATCCTTTTTCCAAAGTTGGTCTGATGTTTTCATTCCATTCTGCGTTGAAATGAATGTTTGATCATGAACTGATTTGGAGTTAGATTGCGATTCATCGATATCGCTTTGACCCAAACAGGCTGTAATTTTCACTATTTTTTGTTTTTACACTCCAAATGGAATCTGTTTCAATAAATAGTCGAGAATGATTAATTCTGGCATTGATGTTTAGTATCTTCAAGAATTCCTTGTGATGCGAGTGTTTCTTTACATTTATAGATTCCGTATTGAACCAAAACAAGTCGTCAACCATCAAACAAGCCCTGGTTAATGGTTCTGTCTTTTATCCACAATTTACAATACGTTATCGTCCACAAGATGTCTCCCAGACACAGCAATGTCCAAGTGATGGTTTGTCTCCTAGGTTTCATAATCCACATTCTTCAACTCAAAGAGAACTTCCAGCAGATAATGAGCAAAGAATTTACCAGACGACACAAATACGTCCATCAGATCACGGTATCCAGAAACAAAATGACTATGCCGTGGGTTGTCCAAGCTCAACAAGTCAGTGTTCCCAGATGATGAGGCAGACAACGATAGCATCTGAGGTTGCGGCATACAGAGTTACTCAGAAAGGAACCTTTTCAAATATTGGTGATCAGAAGAAGACTGTCAGTACAAAGCTTTCTGAGGTTGTGGAATTTATTGTGGACCGATCTTACACAAAACCTGGTACGGCCAGTGAAGCTGCAGCTGAAGACCCAAACAGGTTCCGGGTACTACAGTCAGTATCTAGAGCCAGTACCCCAGACTCAGTCATCATAGAATCAGTTGAAGTACCTTGTGTGGATTCCAGCAAAATTCCAGTAACAGCTATCCAAGCATCAGAAACACTTCAAGCTCAAATCGAACGACGTCAGGGGCCTGTCACTCCGAGCATTAAGATTTTGGATTCATTTTCTCTCAGAGATTGTCCCATAAATTCAAAACATGATGTGGAAATGGCATCGAAAGAAACAGTAGCACCCATTGAAACAAGTAAAACTGATACATCTACCAAACCTCAGCCAAGTAAGGACATTATATCTCCCTCTGTCGAAACGAGTCAGAGTGTAAAACCTTCTAATCATATTCTATTGAGCGATCTGTGCCAGAAAGCTTTCTATCAGTGCTGTGTAGGTGAGTGTGAGCATAGCAGTGTGTGCCCATCAGAGTTTCAGGATCATCTCAACAGCAGGCATCCCAATGCAGAAGAATTCCTGTGTGTTCACTGTGGAGACCCTGCACCTTCCGCAGAGCTGCTCATTCAACATCTGCATCACCATGCAGACAACAACTCCAACTTCCACTGCAACTACCCCGACTGTAATTTCATTACAAGTCATCCAGACAGCTTTACCAGGCATTTCTATCATTGTCATGACAAAGGGGACCGTCATTTGTGTCTTCTGTGTGGGCAACTGTTTCAGACTGCTTTGGAAATGCTAATCCACATGAAAGCAAATTTTCTCAATATCGTGAAATGCCCTCACTGCTCTGCCAAGGACGTGACGAAGAAGAACATTATGAGACACATGGGTGAGAACCACCCTGATAGGGGGAAGCTGGTGACAGTTTCTAGGCAAATTGTGTGTCGGGAACGATTAAAAAACTGTTGGCCAATGTTGCAGAACAGTGGAAGGGATCAGAATACAAGTGGACCAGTTCGTTCTCTTTCAGTGACACAGGATGTCATGAAGTATCAAGTGGTAACCAGTGATAGTGTCAAGTTGCCTCCGATGGTGGACTTGACAGGTGAAAGGAGTGAAGACATGTCAGTGATAGAGGCCCCATCTGTGTGCATGGATAAGTTTGTTCCGATCATGTCAGTCCGGGGTTCGGAAGATGGAATTTCAGTTACGAGGGTCAAGTGCGAGAATGATTTAGAAGAAAATGTTCAACATTGTGATGAAATGCCTGTATTGGAGCAGATGAAATGTGCCACAAATAGGTCTGATTTTGACACTGTACCAAGAGGTGCTCCTTCATCATTTGTTAAGACAGAAACAGAGGACAAGGACTGTGATGTAGATGTCAAGAAAGATGGCATAGATTCAGATCATCCTGTAACAAGAAGCAGTTGTCGACTGGAGAAGGATTCTATAAGTTCAGAAAGCAACACTGGAAGTGGAAGTGGAAAGGGTGAAACGGTCAAAAGTGAAAGATTTGTGTCTCCATCTTCAGATGCAAGGAAAAATAAATCCCTGAAGAGAGTCAATGTGTGCAGCAAGTGTGATTTCTATACCACCTCGGTGGGACAGATTTACAAGCATGTTCGTGAAGTCCACAAGATGGAAGACATGTTCCAGTGCTCTGAGTGCCATGGGTATCTGTGTCAGGATGACGTCATCACGCACCATGTGAAGTACCATCCTGATGCTGACGAAAATTACATACCTAACGCCTTGAGACATGCATTTGACATCAGGTACATGAAGAAGACGAAATGCAGACAGTCGTCAGCTCAGTTGGAGATTGGAGAGGATACTTCAACGTCCATAGATCCTGTGGAAGATGTCACCAGTAGTCTCATGGCAAAGTTGAGTGAAGCCAAGGAAGGCGACAGACTGAAACTGACATCATTTGAGTCTAGTATTTTGAATAAGATTATTAATGAGAAACAAATTACCACATCCATAGAGAGTGGGCACCGGAAGCCGGATGCTGCACAAGTTAGCATTGTGAAGGAGGCTACAATTCCCATGGTAAAGCCTAACCAATCAAATAAGAAGCGCCGTGTTTCAATGCGCAATAAAGGTTCAAGGAAACGGCAACGCTTGGAGACACAAGAAACTACCCAAGAGGGGACAGAAGATAACAATTGTCAAAAGGAACTGGAGACCTGTTCTGGAGAAGCAGATACACTGCAAGAGATTTCAGAGGATGATTATCATTCTGATGATGACACACCTTATAATGATTATCCCAGTGTTAAATCAGAACATCTGTCTCCTAACAGAAGCTCATCTGCAAGTCAAGTAATGTCTCCCAAGATCTCTAAATCTCCTGTGCCAACACCACTTAAAAAAACTGAATCTCCTCTGGAACCATCGCCCAAAAGGAACCAATATCCTTTAAGAGGGCAGTCTTTGAAATACCAATCTCCAGTGAAAGGTCCATCCCCCATTAAGAACAAATCTCCCCCCAAAGGATGCTCTCCCAATAAGTTTTTGTCCTCTGTTAATAATCCTTCAGAAAAAGCATCATTTTCCGTTGAAGAAATACTGGTGGACAAGAATCCGTATCCAAGCAGCTACCAGACCCCCAAAAAAGAATCTGTTGATGAGACATCCGTTGTTGGGAGTCCATTGCCAATAAAACATTGGTCTCCCGTCAAAGTAGACTCACAGGTAAATGAGGGCACAGGACCAAATCTGACCTTCTCTCAAGTGGACTTCGACGATCCTTCATATGAGTTCAGATGTAAATACTGCACCTACAGAAAAGGGTCTTTAGACAAGTTTCTCCATCACACATACTATCACTTTCACTACAAGCCATACACATGTGGCTTCTGCGACTTCAAAGCGTTTTCACACAACCGTGTCGTGACACACATCAAGTGTGACCATCCAACGAAAGCCAACAAACCTGTTGTGAAGAGGGTTGAAAATGAAAAAGCTGAGGCAAGGTGTCAAAAGACTGCAATGATTTGTTTCATTCCAAAACATATTGAGGATGTCAGCCTGAGGCGACGTGTTATGATGAAGAAAGAGAGACAGTTAAAGAAGATGAAGTCAGAAAAGAAGGAAGTTAAAGTCAAGACTTCAAATTCAGTACAACATAAAAAACAATCAAATAAACTTGCAAAGACTAAGTTAAAAATGATGGAAAATAGTTCTGTGAAGTTATCAAACAAACCAGAAAAAGAAGGATCGTATCTCTGTCCGTACTGTCGGACAAACAGACCCTTGATGACATGGACAAAGGTTGCGATAGAGATCTGCTACCATATTCATTACAAACCCCTGAAGTGCAACTACTGTGATGAGCTACAGTCAGCCTCTATGTACTGTGTGCAGAAACACATAGAGAAAGTTCATCCAGGGAAGGAGGTCATTGCCAGGGAAAGACAGAGATCCACATAAGGAAAAAAGAATGAAGGTGCTTTTACAGAGGGCCTTGGAAATCTCCCAGAAATACAGACAGGAACTGAAGAGGCAAGAACTGAGTTTGAAATCCAAGAAAGTGAAGAAGAAGCCTGCTAAAGTAGCAAGGCATCCAACTGAAGGTGGTTGTGGAGGTCAAGCTGTGTCAGCTTCTGACGTGACAGTTAGGAACACCTCTTGCACCAAACAGACAAGCTTGAATTATGCCGTTAATAGCACATCTAAAACTGATTCACCAAGGACTTTAAATACTGGAGAAACCTGTGTAAATTCTAAGGACACAGCTGCCCATTGTTCTGAAGACCTTGGTGACAAGAAATCTGATTCTCACGAGGCCCTGTCTGTTTCTCCCGAGGACATGACCGTCAAGAGGTCCCATGAGTTGTTCAAAGAGACGCGAGACGATTATGGCGGAGTATTGTATGAGTGCTTAAAATGTGAATACACCATACGAAACCTGAAGTCGATGTACTCACATTCCTACAAGCATCAGCCCAAGATCTTCAAGTGTCATTACTGTGACTTTGTAGCCTATCCAAGGTAAGATATTGTTCTGTACCTGAAGTGTCATGTAGCCTATTCAAGGTAAGATATTGTTCTGTACCTGAAGTGTCATGTAGCCTATCCAAGGTAAGATATCGTTCTGTACCTGAAGTGTCATGTAGCCTATCCAAGGTAAGATATCGTTCTGTACCTGAAGTGTCATGTAGCCTATCCAAGGTAAGATATCGTTCTGTACCTGAAGTGTCATGTAGCCTATCCAAGGTAAGATATCGTTCTGTACCTGAAGTGTCATGTAGCCTATCCAAGGTAAGATATCGTTCTGTACCTGAAGTGTCATGTAGCCTATCCAAGGTAAGATATCGTTCTGTACCTGAAGTGTCATGTAGCCTATCCAAGGTAAGATATCGTTCTGTACCTCTCCTGTTATTGCCCACACAAGTTTAGTAGTTGTTACGATTACAATCGGTTAGAGGGCCTGTATGCCCAGCAAGGCGCTACTCCCAGTACTAAGCTGGTACTCGGCTCCCTTTGCATGCTCGAACTTGCGATATGCGAAACGGGGCCCAGTTTACTTCCGGTACCAAGCATATATTCAGGAACCAATTCTGGTTCCAAACTGCGTGACCGCCAGATATGACGTAACTAGACCAGCCAAGCAAGTGTATGTTGTTTGTCACTGGGACTACTAAGGTCTGGCACTTGTTGAGGCAAGATAACCATAACTATGCAGAAATGACAAGTGAGTCGTATTGGGTCGAACTTTTCAGAATTGTTAAATTTCAATCTGTTGGATTAAACCTGATTTACTGTTGTTAACAACCAATCACGTAGCACTTGTTACGGCCTCTACATAACGATTCAGTTGTGTTGTATGATATTTATGATCATATTTTGTGTTCCATTGGTTTAATAAGAATCTTTTTGTTTACTTTTCAGGTCTACAATAATTTGGCACCAGAAACAACACCACTTCCGTTTGAAGCCCAAGGTGATCAATCTTGCTGAGGAACAAATGTCAAGAGATCAAAAGAATAGCGATACTGTGTGCTAGAGATAAACGTCTCGTGTGTGTCAGTCTCCAGTCGGAATATGTTCAAATATCTGTTGTCATCATAATCAAAATGAACTCATTTCTCCTGTTTCAATAGAAGGGGCATTATACTCCACGATCTGGTTCGGGGGTGGTTGGGTAGCCTATCAGTTAAAGTTTTTGGTCGTCATGCCAAAGACCAGGGTTCGATTCCCCACATGGGTACAGTGTGTGAAGCCTATTACAGGCGTCCCCGCCGTGATGTTGCTGGAATATTGCTAAAAGCAGCATTAAACTAAACTCACTCACAATCTGGTTCCTACTTATAGCTGAGATATACATGGTCTATGGCCAAGAAAAGAAATGGGTTTCACGTAATTTGGTATCAGCTTATGAGTACGTAGGCTATATATTTGTTTGTATTGTAATAATGAGGGCCTGTTAAAGCGTGATGTCAGTTGTAATGTTTCTCAAATGAGTTGAAGTTCAAATGCTACAGCAATGATAATATGCAGAAATGTTTTCTCAGGATGGATGAGTTTCTTGATGGATATTTCCAAGCTGTGATAAAAACATGTTGGCAAGTGTACAAAGTAATTTTTTACCTTCCATTAATCTGTGACTTTTGTCCGACTGAGATGTTCTGTCTTTGTCAAGAGTGTAATCATACACTCCAGTGTTTATGTATCAGTATAGTTTACAGGTAAACTGATTTTTAATGACTTTATTGTCATTTGACCGAGAACTCCCTTTAAATAGTATTTCATTACAGAACAAGGGTGGTGGGGTAGCCTAGTGGTTAAAGGGTTTGTTGTCACGCCGAATACACGGGTTTGATTCCCCACATGAGTGCAATGTGTGAAGCCTATTTCTGGCGTCCCCCGCAGTGATATTGCTGGAATATTGCTAAAAGCGGTGTATAACCAAACTCACTCATCACAGAACATCATACATCATACGAGTCTGTGGGAGTAGTTTCAATTGTGCTCTTAACTATGTGATTAACACTATCCAGAGAAGAGTCTGATTATGGTATTATCTTTGTTATTTTATTATTGAAATTTTTATTTGTTCCTGTAGACTGGTGAAACATCAATAGACGATTGGAATAACTTACAAAAGTTAATGCACCTGACCCTGATAAAACATCTCCTATTGCTAGCTGGGTTGAGTAAAGGTTGTTCTATGTACCTTATTGAATCAATGCTACTCTGTTTATTCCATCATTTATGGTATATTTGGTTAATTTTGTGATTCAGTCGAATTGTATGCTGTGAACCAGGTTGATATGTACGGTAGGGGTGAAAAGGTATACCGCGATATTAGTAGAACCGTGGTATTAGTAGAAACGCTGTATTTTGCCTTCGGTTTGGTATACCGTAATGCAATCGAAAAGTTCAGTATTTTCAGTTTTCGTCATTTTATTAACCTTTTTAAACGCTTTCTAAAATGTCTAGAACTTGAATAATTTTGTCAAAATCTTTGCATTTCTTTGCTTTGTTTAGCTCTTGTCAATTTTCTGCATTATGATCATGTCTCATGTACCGAACCAAAACAGACGGAACTGAAGGCCTTGTATGAAGGCAGTACATACTTTACCGTGGTAAGAGTGTACCTTTTCCCCCTAATGTATTGGCTCATCTTCATTGTTTTTCCTTCTCTTGCCATTGACTTTAACTTTTTGAAATATATGCATAATGTTGGTGGGTGGCACTGGTGCACAGTTTACTTTGTATGATTTCTTAAAAAATGTGATGCATTGTAGAAATTGAATCTGCTATTCATGAATTGTTTTTGAACTTTTTTTGGTTATAATAGTGAACAGTTTATATTGACTGACGCATAGTCATAATAGTAACTCACAAAGCTTATTAGATTTTATGAATAAAGTTTTATTTTTACCTAAATATTTTCTGTCCATTAGGTTGGCGCATGAATGATACTCAGATACTGTTGACTTATTGTATATCCAAGGAATTCTGATTGTCTGTACATACAGTGTTGATATATACATACAGTGTTCATTTGTACATACAGTGTTGTGATCTATAAAGATGTTTGTAGAATCATATCCATCAAGTCACTGTATGTAAAAGCTCTTAGACCAATATCATAATCAATTTATTCAAACTGTCATCACAAATCTTTAGCCTAAGAATTTTAAACCTCTTAGTGCTTTACAGATACGTAAAGCTTGAAATGGCCTTGAATCTAAGGCTGATCTAGGTAAGTCTTTCAATTCAGATTGTATATGTTTGTCTATTTATAGTCAGTAACCTAGGAGTTATATCCTTTCCAGATATTGTCATCCCTCATATTTTTTATATTCCTGAATTTATATTAGAATTAAACAAATGGCATTAAAGATTTTGTGGCATTAAGATTTGGAGAGCTTGGTGAAGTTCTTACTTTTTTCCCATTCTTGAACTCTGTAGTAAGCTCAGATTATGTAATTTAAGCAGGTAACATATGGATTTGGAGTGACAAGACTCAATATGCCTTTTAGCTGAACGTCAAGACAGTCATGCTTGTGTCAGGACAAGATTTCAGTAGCATTTTACATCTATACAGCTATCAAGTCATAATGCCTGAAATTGGTTCTGATGTCTGAAAGTTTGGGTGATACTGCTCCTGCTTGATACAAGATGATCGCTGCAAGGAATCCCCATCTGTCACCCAGACCCCAGAGGAGAAAGTGTCACAGGCTAAAATCTGTCTGTCACTAACACTGCACCATACTTTCCAGCACTCTCACTGATGTTGGTGTAAACAGCCCACCTTACTTGTGGTCGGACAGGAACATCCTGGGCCATGGCACATGCAGTCCCTGCAAATGTTGCAGAGGCAGGTCACATGACTGCTCTCTATAAAAACTACATGTGTCAGAGGCAGGTCACATGACTGCTCTCTATAAAAACTACATGTGTCAGAGGCAGGTCACATGACTGCTCTCTCTAAAAACTACATGTGCCAGAGGCAGGTCACATGACTGCTCTCTCTAAAAACTACATGTGCCAGGGGCCAGGCACACACCACGTGAGGCAACAACTTTAACATGTTGTTATGTTACGAAAAGAAATGGGTTCCAACTTATGTTTAATAATCTTGAAGCAAGTCCAGATTACCTCATGTGAAGCCCATTTGTGGTGTCCCCTGCCTGATAGTGCTGGAATATTGATAAAAGCGGCGTTAAACTAAACTGACTCACTCACTCCAGAGTGCCACAGCTCTGAAGTTAAGATTTTTCTGGGCTCCTTTTGGATGTAGCTGTTTTGTTTGTAGCTGTATGACTTCATTTCTGGGACTCAGTGTCGGTCTAAAAGATCACCAGTGACTGTCTCGCTGTTTATATACTCATGGTAAGAAGTAAAGGAACATGAGAGAAAAATGGTTTGCAATACAATACTGGCTTCCATATTTTATTTTAAACCTGTACAGATTGTTACTGCAGGGAGCACAAACATAGAGACGACTTTAATTAAGAAAACATGTAGTTACAATAACTGTACATATGAAAACTGGGGACATTCGACACAATACACAAGATATGACACGGGTTCGCCTGATATTTTGGTTAGCTAGTCAGATCTCTTGCAATTCCTTTAGGGACCGATCATAATTTATGTGATTGTTTGGGTTTTTTTCACCCATTTTGTTCGGGGGGTATCGATTTTTTACACATGTACTAGGGGCGTCAGCAATTTTGTCCATAAAATTATGTAGGGAAGGGGGGTCATGTACATGACATGCAGGGGGTCATTGATTTTGTACATGATATGCAGGGGGGTCACTTATTTTGTACATGACATGCAGGGGGGTCACTTATTTTGTACATACATTTGGGGGTAGGGGGAGCATGCATTCACATTGTACATGCATAAATTATGAATGGTCCCTTACAGCTGTAAACCTTGATACCTGTTCCCATACTTGGTACCCGAGTGTAAACCATTTCTAAAGTGGGTAGTCAATTTCAGTATAACATGTAAATAAAAAAAAGTTCTTTAACTTTGAAAGATTGGCTTTCAGTATTAGTGAGTTATCAAATTGTATTTTATAGGCATGTTTGTGCAGTACAAAATGTTTGCTCAAAATAGCACATTATCTGTGAAGAAATAATAGAAGGCAAAATATAAATTATTTGTGCATGTATATATATATATATATGTATATGTATGTATGTTTTGAGGCATTAAATCAATTCTCTGTACTATTTGCCATATTCAGTCTTCCGAAGAACAATGTAACAGGAGGAATGGCTTCTTGCTATCTTAGGCATGTTGATATATATTTATGTTCTTTTGTCTACCATGGCAACTGTTTTATGTTACCAAATAAATACCTACATGCAAATGTGTTGTCAAGATGTAACACAAAATCCTTTCGTTGCCTTGAGTTTGAATCCCGGAAATGTCTCATGGTATTCTTTGTCAAGAAAATGTGTGTAATTTTGACATCAGTGATAAGATTGCACTGCAAATAGCTGTGCGTGATAGAAAGCTGGGATCATAGATTTTGAAATCCAAACCAATCCTGACTGTGTTTCTGAAATCTTTTCTGGACTGCTGATTGAAAGCATGAGCACCGTCTTACAACCAGTGAATCATATTTCCATTCTTGATCTGCTAGCAATCCGTGAAGATCCAGGTTAGAATTGACCTTCAGTAACCCATGCTTGTCGTAAGAGGCGACTAATGGGATCAGGTGGTCAGGCTCGCTGACTTGTCATCGGTTCCCAATTGCACAGATTGATGCTCATACTTTTGATCACTGGATCGTCTGGTCCAGACTCAATTATTTACAGATTGCTGCCATATAGCTGGAATATTGCTGAGTGCGGCGTAAAACTAAACTCACTGACTGACTGATAAGCTAGCAAGTCACCCACAGAAGGCTGTGCCAACCTTTTTCATCACAAGATGCCCAACGATGCAAAACCCGAAACTTATTCAGCCTCTCGTCAACGGTCGCATCCAGCCTACTGACAGATGAATATAACCTATCCTTGTGATGGATACTACTCAATGTTAAACACCATTTTTTGTCGTATAACATCCTTTGAGGACTATAAATTATGATAAATAACCTGGAGACACTCGCAAACCATAGCAGGACGGTGGGGTAGCCTAATGGTTAAAGCATCCGCTCCTCATGCTGAAGTCCCCTGCCATGAAATGGAATATTGCAAGAATTGCTGGAATATTGGTAAAAGTTGCCTGAAACCATACTCACTCACAAACTAAAGCTTTCTTCCAAAAGTGACATCCATACGTCCATTTCTTATCAGTAGCATCTGAGAGTTTGGATGGATGCATATATGGTGGCAAATTGGTCCACACATCATGGATCCTAAAAGTATCATCTATACTGAACCACAAAAGAAATGTCGCACTGATAGCGGTTTCTTAAAGTACACACTTTAATTCACTCTAATTAACAATCAGAACGGAGGACTGAGTTCAAACTTGACAATTATGGTTAACACATTTTCGGGAATCACATTTAGTGTTCACACAAACAAATTCACCAAAAATGGTACCATTAAGGTACCCCAAAGTCAGTATCATGTGTGGCCTCCATGGGCATCGATGAAAGCGTTGCATCGTCTGTACATTGAATGAATTAGCCGGTTGATGGGCCATAGGCACTTGGGTCCATACTCTGCGAAATGCCTGGTCGAGTCCAGTCACGGTTGGAGGCCATTCAGTCTTCTTTGAATCTCGTCCCAAAGGTGTTCTTTTTGACTTAAATCCGGACTGAGTGCAGGCTATTGTAGGGTTTGGGTGCCATGTTGTCTTAGGAAGTCCAATGTTGCTCTGGTGGTGTGGGCACGACCGTTGTCCTGCTGGAAGACGTGATTTCTGTAACGTCCAAAATGTGGTACAATGTGGGGTCTTATTAATAAAGCGAGCGAGCAGCTGTCACGTCATTTCCTCATCCTGGACCAAGATTCTGGAACACCGCGGTGTCAACTAACTGGTTCAGACCAATTGCACCCCACACTATGATGCTTGGACCACCCCATGAGTCTCAAGAATAAACGCATTGGAAGACAGTTCACCACACCTTCGCCATACTCTCACTCTGCCATCGACTGTCGACTGTCGAAACATAATATCTGCTTTCATGAGATAAAAGCACAGGTCTCCATTGTCGATAACGCCAATTTCGTTGCTGAGTTGCCCATTACAGTTGGTTTTGGCGGTGAGGACAGGACAACAATAGGGTCCGTTACAGCAGAGGTTTCTCCCGCTCAAATGTCGACGCACTGTATCAGCACTGATGGGTCTGTGGTGAGTCCCAATGGTCTAGCTTGCAGTTTCTGACGTTCTCGGGAAGCAATCCTGCAGATGGTGGCGCACAATCTGTTGGTCTTGACGTTGCGATGTTACTGAATGTCGCCCACTACATGGATGGTCTTGGATGCTGTTAGTGACCTGATACCACTCCTGCAGTCGGTAGATTGTCCTAACATGAACATTAAAAGGATTGGCTACCCTCTGTGCCGCCTGGACAACTTGCAACCGTCCCAAGACTTGGTTCCTCTGATCTCTCGTAAGTCATGGCATGGTGATTGTGTCAAAACAAATATGGTTCCAGGCGAGTTTGGGACTCGCTTTCATTGGTAGAGTTGTCATGACATGCACATGCATTTTCATTTTCACGAAAGTCATACGGAACCTTTTACCATGTCTGCCTTTTTCGGTGTGTTTGGTCGATATGCTTTTTCATTAGAAAACACATTGATATTGGTAATGACCATCAATTTGGATTGAAGCACGTTAACAAAACGGTCCAATCATAGTAAAAACAACCTTGCAAAAACAAAATTTGTATTTGGTTTTGAAAAGTGATGTTTCTTTTGTGGTTCAGTATATAAGGCATTGGTCTGTAAATAATCAAGTCTGGACCAGAACCTGTGATCAACATCATGAGCATTGATCTATGCAATTTGGATACGATGACGTGTCAATCAAGTCTGCACACCTGACCACCTGATCCCTTTAGTCAACTCGAGCATGGGTTGCTGAAGACCAATTCAAACCCGGATCTTCACAGGAAATTAACCCC